TTCTGGGGAGCAGCTGCTATTTGTAACTACTGTCGTTAATTCAGCCCCTCTCCCATTACTGACATGTTAGAAGATTAAGGGAGTGGCAGACAACGATTCTCTGTCCCCACCTCTTCTTCTGGCATATCATTAATAGGAGGGGGGCTGATTGAATAGCACAGACCTATTACTACCATCTATCCTGGGAAAATGGGCTCATGCATGCACTGCAGGGAGATTATGGGCTGGGTATTTCACCGTGCAGGGGCAAACTATGCAATGCGCTCTTGAGTGCGCATGGTGCAGCCCAGGATTTGTAAATATTATTTTCAAGCTGATAAAAACAGGCATACCATGACAAATGGGGGTGATCCTAAGGGATTGTGTCACTGGTGATAGTCAAAATAGGCAGGTCTATCTGGAAAGGGCATGAGGATGACCCATCTAGTAGGAGGCATGGCAGCCTGGCATGAATGCACAATGTACACTCTGCCCTTGGACTCAATATGCCCTGTGCAGTGTGTACAGTACAAGAACTCCAAGTGACACATTTGTGCTGTGCCTTATGGAAACCACCTCTGGAGACACCAGAGGGCGAACCCAGGATGGTGGAACAGGCCCCCAAAATGTTATGGGAAAGTAATGCAATCCATCTGTCAGCCTGTCATTCTGTTCATATCATGGGTCACAACCTGTCCCTACCACCAGTATGCCCAGGACTCCAAGGGCGTAGGATTTCATGGCTAAATCCCCGGGTTTGAGAGAGTGGGTGGCTGGGCCGGACACAGCAAGCTGGGGCTGGGCTGACAGCCCTAATGATCATTACGATTAATCCCCCCCACGGACTGTGCCAGCCTGTCAGTCCGAGGGGAGGGAGGAGCTGGAAGCTGGTGTGGCTGTCAGTGGCTGCAGGGAGACCTCTCAGTCTCCCTGCACACTCTAAAAACATTTGGGCCGCATGCCCCGCCTCCTAACAGAAGCTACACCTCCCGCAAACAAGCTCCGCCCCCACGCACATTTCTGGAGAGCTGCCACCGGACCAGGAGGAAACTAAAAGGTATTTACCTTTTTACAGCCCCCTTCCCACCATTCAAACGCCCCCTATCCACTATACAGCCCCCCTACCCACCTCACAGCCCCCTACCCACTATATAGAGTCCCTCCACTATACTGCCCCTACCCACCCCTTCTCACACAGCCACCCAACCACCATATATACTGCCCCCCTACCCACCTCACAGTCCCCCTACCCATTATACAGCTCCCTATTCACCTCACAGTCCCCCTACCCACTATACCTCCTGCCCCCCACCCACCTCACAGCCCCCCTAACCACCATTATATTGCCCCCTATTCACCTCACAGACCCCTACCAACTATACAGCCCCCTACCCACCATACAGGCCCCTACCCACCTCACAGCCCCCACCCACTATACAGCCCCACTCACCATACTGCCCCCACCAACTATATATTAGCTGCTCCCCCTGCACCCACCCTACAGCCCCCTAACCACTAGACAGACCCCCATTCACCTCAGAGTCCCCTACCCACTATACAGCCCTCCCTACCCACCTCACAGCCCCCTACCCACTATAGAGCCCCCCTACCCACCTCACAGCTCCCCTATCCACTATACAGCCCCCCTACCCACCTCACAGCCCCCTACCCACTATACAGCCCCCTACCCACCTCACAGCTCCCCTACCCACTATACTGCCCCCTACCCACTATACTGCCCCCTATTCACCTCACAGTCCCCCATCCACATTACGAAAATCGAACCAGATAATATTTAGTCTCGCAGCATCAACCTCAAGGACCTCATTAATTACTAGTAAAGGTAATTTCAATTTACTTTATTGTTTTCTCATTAAACTTTATAAAGTTAAAAACATTATAAACATGGATAAAGTAAAAAATAAAAAGATAAATGTACGTACATTTATTTTATTTTTAAAACACCCTCCTTTCTAAAAAATATTCTGCACTTGCGCGAAACCTGGTGGGCGGTAAGGAAATTTTTCCATCAAGAAAGATGCATTAGTGTGTGGTAGGTAGAAAAAGGTTGACTACCCCTGGTCTATATGAAGAGAAATACAGTGATATTGTTAGGAATATCTGGTTACTTTTTATGAAAAGCATCATAGCCACTACAACATGTGCACTGGTTATGGTGCAATGAGAGCCCTGGAATCCCTCAATGTAAGTAATCAAACTGTTATTCTCTCCGACAAAGAGCTGGAAGCTCCTGATTAGTACAGGACTAGGTCATATCGAGAGTGTCGGCTGATTGCTTTGAGCCAATGAGTTAAGCCTTGCACCACTAGACTTTGATCACACGGAGAGCTTCCTGCTGTCTGTCGGAAGTAGTGTGGGCCTGGAGCAGCACACAGCAGACTGCAAGTAAGCCAAGCCGAAAGTGATTGCTGTAAGAGGTAACCCTTAAACATCAACTTCATGAAATAATTCAGAATTGAGTTTCATAGATAGTTTTATATCAATTCACCAGGGTCTATTTAATGATCATTCATTTGTTTCATTTTTAAGTCTTGTGATTCACCAGATGTGAAGTTCTTGTAGATGGTAGTAGACCATATCTGTCCTAGTTTAGTCCCCATTACTGTAGATCTCTTCAACTTTAGAGGAACTTTACAGAAAATAGAATGGCCACCTAGTGTGACATGTTTTTTCTTTATATTTTATACTTATATGGACACTCCAACCCCTTCGTGAGTTTGATCAAAGAAGATGATTGCAGGTTATGTACAGAGTGGAAGGGCTAACATAGGCTGTGGTTATCAACTGCAGTAGTCTGCGTTACATCTGAAAATCTGAATTTAAAACGTATCCTAGATAAACTGGCAGGAAGTGTAAGGGTTGCCTAAGACAAAATGTGTGAAAAGCTTGATGGATAACAAACATAAGTTTGATTGCAAAATTCAAAGTAGAGTTTAGGTGAGAAACCAGTTAAAAAAACAAAAGGAAATTTAAGAAATATAATTTTTGGACTGATCAAGCTCTTCTCCATTTCCCCTGGCACACACGATAGCAAAGACCCGCCTTGGGGCCACCAGATGCTACACACTTGTGTTATTTCCCACCGTTACTTGCATAGAGGTGCAATGCAGGAACTTTAAAAATGAGGAATACTTTTTGCATATTTTGCAATTAATGCATTATCTATGTAAATGCATTAAAAATGGAGGTCACTTCCAGCGTGGAGTTTCCTTTTAACCTTTGCTTCTGTTAAACAAGAGAGGTTTTTTTTAAAAAGCCTCTTTAAATATTTATAACCAATTGACATGCAATGAAAAGAGCATGTTTGCCTTAAAAGTCTATAAAAGCTGTGTTTTGTTGATAAAAGAAAAGGGCAAGGCAGATAGATATCCATAAGATTTCTATACTTTAAATAGATATTGAGGGTCCATAACAACCAGACTGGGTTGGTAGAGGAGTGAAGGAATAGAACTGTTTAGATTATGCTAGGCTATTTATTTTTTTTCTGCTCAATATATTCCTATCTCTTACTTTATCAATTTGGAAAATGGCATTTTTATAATGGAACTGGGATGGAAATATTAGACACAAAATACCTCACTTATGTAACGTCTGTCTCTAGGAAAGTAACTGATAAGGTCCTATTTTTACTGCAAAGTTTTATTTTTCCATTTCTATGAGAAATGACATTTTCTGCATTTGGTTTCGCTATCAAATGGATACATAGCAAGAAGCAGGAATATAATTTAGATCACTGTGACCGGGACGTCGACAGATTATGATAAACGATGATAACCTTGGACATTACAGTTTAAATCTCAGATTTTTAATGTATTCTTCATTCAGTAGTGCATTTTTGTGGATATGTAACCTTAAAGGTTTATGTTAAGATAAAATGCAAGATTCACATTTCTTAAAGTAGACTTGTCATTTATGGAAACCACCTCAAATAACATGAATAACCTGTTATTCAGAGTTTTTCACTTACATATGAATTTTGGCAATTTCTACTTTTAGGTCAAAATTGTCAAACTGGAAAAATTCAGTCACTTATGTTTTATGTTTGAAATGAATCTCATGACGTGAAGGTATAGCCTAACTACAATTACCTGTAGCAATTTCCATCTCATGTAGCCTATATTTAAAATGTTACAGCCCCAAACCCATACGTAACACTGCAATGTTCACATTAACAGCATTTGTATGTTTAGTCCTAAATCTTCATTAAGGGACAAGAAGCTCCCCTAATTGAGAGGTGTGCCCAGTAATGAAATATGACCACGTTCATGGTAAGTTTCTAAACATTTATTATATACTTTTCAATGTTTTTTTTTTTTGTTTAATTTTGGTTTGTATATTTGTTTAAAAGTCTTTGCTTGCTGGTTTAATAAAATATTTGTCAAGTGATGCATATCCCTTTGTGTCTTTCACATTGCTGGAAAACATACATCTTTACAGGATCTGAAAAGAGAATAAGAAAAATGAGGTTGAACTTTGAAAATGTAAGTGGAATTCTGTCTACTGAGTGAAAATATTTAAAGTTAAATCTGATATATTTTAAACTAGTACATTTTTGACAATGGAGTTTCTTCTATGTACAATAAAAATAATACAATAATAATTTCATATGGAATATTTCACAAATTTGAGAGGTACAAGAATGGAATATTTGGGAACGAGACCCAATTAGGGGGCATGTAAGCAGATATGTATGTAGTCAGATGTGCATGTTCACAAGTAAGAGTAAGAGCTATAAAGGCCCCTTCCGTCCTATACAATTGAATGCTGGGAAAAGATAAACATGCTCTTCCAGTCAATACGACTTGACGTACAAGGATGAATATTTTTTTCTTTTTTTTTATCAGGATTACTATTTTAATTGGTAAATGTGTCAGGTGCCCAAGACCCAAAGATTCTCAATGACAACAAAACCTTTTTTTTCTAAGTGATTGAACATCCCACAAGAGAAATGATAAAGAAGGACAACACTTAAACACTGTTGTTGTCTATGTAACTGTCAGGTCCCCTGCCTACGCGGCGCTTCCAGCAGCCTTGCTTACCTCGTCACCGCGAGCAGCGCCATCTCGTCCCTGTCCGCGGCGTGCGGCTGTCCCCGCCGCCATGCTCCAGACGGACAGTGTTTCTGACGTTGCACGCTCCAGACCAGCATCTTTATATGTGTGATGAACCCGGTCATGTGACCTGGCACACAGTGATGACCTCAGAAACCACAAGGGAGGGAAGAAACAATAAATATAGATATTATAACTCTGCTACTATAATAAATATGAATGTAGTATGCTAAAAAAGTACTAATTTGTGAATATATTTGCTCGATCATAAATTGTACTAACTCACATTTTGTTGAATTTACATTTGCCCCAAATGCAAAAAAAAAAAAAAAGAC